AACCCTATTATTAAGGATTTGGAGATTGGATATAGAATTTAAAAGAGTAAAGAGTTATACAGTGTTATCTGTCATGGGTTCTCAGGGAACGGAGTGGTCTATGTTACAGAGTGTTGAATGAGTGAAAGAACCTGAATGCTAATTCTAGACATTACTAATCAACTTCTGTCTTTCACTGTAAATAACAGCTTCTGGTCTTATGCTTTTTTGTTTGTTTGTTTTGGTACCCTTTCCTTTCCCCCCTTTTAATAATTTTGTGCCTTTCCTCAGAGCATACTAGTTTTAAGCTATCCTTTTATCATTTGCTGTAGCATTTAACACAAATATAATTCCCTCAAAGACTGAAAACAATGGGAGGATGTGGCACTCAAAGAAGCTAACCTACTAGGTACTGTAGAAATAATTAGTAAAGATTTGAGAATATAAAAAACCATTAGGCCGGGCACAGTGGCTCATGCCTGTAATCCCCTAGCACTCTGGGAGGCGAGGTGGGTGAACTGACTGAACTTCGTCTCTAAAAACAGCTGGGCATTGTGGCGGGTGCCTATAGTCCCAGCTACTTGGGAGGCTGAGGCAAAACAATTGCTTGAGCCCAGGAGTTTAAGGTTGCTATGAGCTGTGACACCATTGCACTCTACTGAGGGTGACATAGTGAGACTCTGTCTCAAAAATTAAAAAAAGAAAGAAAAAAAAAAAGAAATGAGATAATGAGCTCAATAAATGGAGTTTCCTCTTCTAGTCTGACCTCTTTTAGACTCAATGCTATTCAACAGAACCATATGAGAAAAACTATAAAAGTATAAAAATACTTTGCAATGTGCCTCAGTGCAACAGGTCAGTCATAATCTGAAGAAATACTCTACAAAGTGCACCATCCAATATGGTGGCCATGTGGCTGAGCACTTGTTATGTGGCTAGGGTTACTGAGAAATTTAATATTTAATTTTAATTAATTAGCCACTTGGGGCTACCATATTGGATAGCACAACATAAACCATGAAAGCATGTTTCCTTGAGACTTCAAATTCTTATGGGACCCAGGGTATACTATAAAGAAAAAAAACAAAACTGTATGTTTCTCTACAAGTTTATCCCAGACTATACTTTCTAAGTTTTGCAGCCAAATACATCTAATTTATCAGATTTATCAGTGTGAACCAAGCCAATTTACCTAAAATACCTAAACGTGAGACTTCCCATATGTAGTACAACAGGAATACTTACTAACTGCTCTGAGGAACTGTGAAGATGACTGACAGATGGATGTGATACAGTAAATGCTCAACAGATCTGGTTTCCTTTGTCCTCTCGTATTTATTGTTTCTCACATGACCAAACTATTCTCACATGCTGGCCAAGTGCCTGACCTATTACTCATTTTATATTGACAGAAGTAATTAATATCAACTATTTGCCAAAAATGTGTTTATGTTACTAAATGATATATTGTTAATATTTAATTTTTAAGAGTCTGAACTTTAAAAATGTATTACTGAAAAGTGAAGCTTGTTCAACATTAAGGAAAAAATCTCATAAACCAATCTTTAATCCTAAAACCATTGCTGTGACATGGAAATAGATATTGGCTAGGCATACAAACTAAAGATTACTCTGCTACAAAACTGCTTAATTTATTTAAGAATTAAAATAAAAATTAAAAGCAATACTGAACTTATCCCTGTTTTCTGCTTCATGGCCAGAAATCTGTCTTTAAAAATTTTGAAAAATATTATTGCATTTTCTATTAATGTGAAACATCAACATAATCTAAGCCCAAAAGATGATTGGCTATCTCAAAGGTTCCTTCCAATAACAAAATCTTCCATATATCTGTTAGGTTGTTGAGCAACACCTAGAATAAAATACTAGACTGTTCATCAGAATCTGGGAGCTGGTGGAAGTTAACTTACAACCGACTTTTCCACTGTTATTTGAGGAGCTCCTCCCCACCTTCATGCCACAAAAAGCAATCTACATTATACCCATGACTCTTAATTTTTAATTTCTATTCTACAACAAACAGTTGCCACTGGAGGCTGCCAAACTATCTGTGACTGTCTCTCCTAGGTATTTTCAGATCGTGCCAAAGCAGTAATGTGTTAGGACTAATACGCTTCTTTGTACCAATACTTTATTTGTTTCACTGTTGATTTAGACAGAGGATATGAAGGCAGATCTTTTAATTTGGGGAAGCATTATACTAAAAATTTAGGCTGACTATTGAGCCCAGGAGTTCAAGACAAGCCTGGGTACTGACTCCACTTAAAAAAAATGAAAAAATAAATAAAAACTAAAAATTTAAATCTGTACACAATTTCTAATCACTTAACATTTTAATACTAATGAAGAAAAACTTTTAAGTACAAAATATTGTGTAAATCCTTGATCTAAAAAAATTTATTTAATTCTGTCTGTACTTTGGTCCTATTCTCTTATCCCACATGCTCTTTAGCAAACAAAAAGTATTAACCATGTCAATTGATATAAGTAGGTAGTTATCTGGTATTTATATTTATATAACTAGAAGCAAAGATCTTTTAAGCTATCTATGACTTGGTAGGATTGAAGGTATACACACAGAAATACAGCCAAGAAATAAATAATTCAGAACCAAAAATCTCCAATTTCTTATCTCTATTCCAATTAACAAACAACAAACCAAAGCACTTCTAAGATAACTTTCAGCCACCAAGCACTGACATCAGAAGTATATATTTTCAAGTGTCTATAAATCTCATGTAATAACGCATTAAATTAGGGAGGAAACCAGCCTATTTCTAGACTGCCAACCCTCTGAACTTTTAAGGCTTGGATGTACTCCTTCCAGTAACAGATCACTTTAAGTCTCTACTTTTATTATTTATTCTTAGTGTAGTCACTTTGTTTTAAAGCTTAGTATTAATCACTGCATAACCAGGATGTCCAATATTACTCAATTTTATCGCATACTAACAGGTTCCATGAGTGTGAAGTTTATTAGCATAATACAAAATGTATGCTATACTGTTAAAGAAAGGCTACTAAATCAACTACCCTGCATAAACATTGCTCTGAAAACAAAGTTATGAATTTATCGCTCTCCTAAGTTTTCTCTCAGTTCTGCTAAGAACACATTATCAATGTGTAACTGAATACTCGGTGTCCTACTATTCTACAAGCAAAAAAATCCCCGGAAAAACAAACAAACAAACAAACAAAATTAGAAGAAAAAAAGAAGAAACCACAC